GGCTGTGGAGTCAGGTACACTTCTTGGAGCCAATGTGTCTTCCATCCTCATTCCCCAAGGAAGATGAGTCACATTTTGTATGCAGTGTTACATTGTCTCCTGGGCTTCTTCATCCCCTCAGCCAACCTGCTGGTAATTGTGGTTGTCTACAGACTAATGAAGAAGAAAGAGGGAAGAAGCTACATGTTCATCCTCAACCTGGCTGCTGCAGACCTGCTGGTGGGACTGATGTGCATTGCAGAGGCACTAGATGATTTCCTGGATGGAGACTTTGACAAGAACTTATCCTATTGTCTCTTACGGATCTGCATGGGCATGACACCTTGCATTGGCTCTATTCTCACCTTGCTCTTGATTTCCCTGGATAGATACTTGGCAGTGAGGCTCCCTCTCTATTATCCTACCCTCTTGAACAAAAAACCCATGGTCTTCTCCCTCACTCTTCTGTGGGTGGTCTCCATCTTGTTTGGGCACATGCCTTTGATTTCTCCTTCCCTGCAGCAAAGCAACTACACGGGTTATTGTGGGCTGCTGTATGCAGCCAAAAGTGACTACCTCTATGTGACCTGCTTTGGGATCTTCATCCCTTCTTTACTGGTCATCATCTGTCTGCACATCTCTGTAGGAAGAATTGCCTACTCACAGCACAAGCGGATCTGGCGCACCTGCCTGCCAGCAGAACCCCTCACTGCTCACCTTCGCCACTTCAAAGCACTGCGGACAGTACTTATAGTGATTGTTGGCTTCACCATATGCTGGGGACCTTACTACTTGGCAGGCTTTGTGCAAGCTACTTGCAACTCCTGCAACCTGGCCGACGTGATGATGGATACCTTATTCCTGCTTGGAGAAATCAACTCCCTCTTCAACCCCCTCATCTATGCTCTGTATAGCAAAGATATAAGAAGTCAGCTGCCCAAACTGATGACGTGCAAGAAGAAAGGCCAAGTAAAGCCTCTAGCTGTGGTTCACTTTAAAATCCGAGCCCTTAATGATGTATCCACTGGAGAGGCTGACACACCCAATTCACCTGGGGGTCAAGTCACCAATACTACTCTCTTCAGCAGTACTAGCCAAAGCAAAATAGACCTCTTAGTGTCATGATCCAAGGTGGGAGAGAAGCTCTGCATGAACTACCAGTGAAGTGGAAGGTGAGATTGACAGTTTCTAGCATAACCTACCAGCCATCTGGACCTGGAGCATGTTGACTGATACTCAGATTTACTACTCTCCCTTTGTGTAAAAGGTGGCTGAGCTAGCAGGAAAAAAAATTAAAAATCAAAATCAAAACTTTGACCAAAAGGGTGGGAGTGACTGATTTGTAAAAATAGCCTGTAAGAGTTCTGTGTGGACAACTAAACTGCTGGGCTATGTCCCCTCTTGTGCAAGAGAATATGCAAATGAAGTGAAGCGGTGAATGTCACCACGCCTCATTTGCATACGTGCAAATGAAGCGAAGCGGTGAATGTCACCACGCCTCATTTGCATACTTAATGAGCCACCATTTTGTGCAAAAACCCCTCTTGTGCAAGAGCCGTTCTGCTTTTTTTTTTTCAGGTAGAACAGCTCTTATGCAAGGGGGGGGCTGCATAAAAAGGAGCCGTGTAAACAGCTCCTTCTTGCGCAAAAGCCCCTTGTGCAAAAATGGTGACTCATTAACTATGCAAACAAGGCACGGCGATATTCACTGCTTTGCCTCATTTGCATATTCTCTTGCACAAGAGGGGGCAGTCTAGACGTAGCCCCATACTTTACTACCAGTGTTGTTAACCTCAGTGTGCTGCTGTCCACTCTTGCTCAGAGCTGGGTCATTCAGGAGTAACTTCTTTTGATGTGATGTTCATCAGTAGTAGTTATGCACAGGATCATTCCCTGTATGGGTCAAAGAGACTCTATTTGGACTTGTTTAGAAAGCCATCAGCAAGTTGTTATTTCATTTTGTTTGATGAAGTCCTTTTGTATCTTCCTGTGTCAGCCATGTTCAGTGAATGAATGAATCTGTCATCCTACCCAGGGGCTCTGTCTCTCCAGGTGAAAGCCAGATCAATCAGGATCTGAATTTCCTCTGTATCAAAATATATTGTGCATCAGCTAAACAACTCAATTCTGCTTTACAATAGGTAAAATATCCTTTCCTGAGGTTTTAAAATATAGCATGGTCAGAGGGCAATAGCCAAAAGTTGCAGCCACCCATCAAGTGATTGTCTGGTGGTTTATGTGGCTTCCCCTTGATCCATGTAGTACTCAGTGGATGGTCTCCTGGTTATACAAGACAGCATAATGAACATCATTTGGTAATCTTTGCTGGCCGTCTCAGCAGTGGGGGCAAGCATCAGGTGAGCCTGGAACCTAAACCATCCCAAAAAGAAAGCCCTCCTAGTTAGGGGTAGGAATACATGTGAAGGACAAAATGGGAAAGCTTGTGCTATTGTTACCTATGTGCAGAGAATGCAATCCACTAGATTGGATTGGGGGCTGGATTCAGTTCCTTGCTCTTTCTCTTAACATGTTATGTATGAGAGATCATGGGCAAGTCCCTTACTCTCTCTGTGCCTCATTCCCCAGGCGTAAAATGGGAATATTAATGCTTCCATTCTGCATGGTGGTGTGTGGGCTCAGATATTACATTGAGGCAGGCAGGCAAACAAAACAAAGCAGGTAGGGGAAAGTTGGCCAGGTGCTAGCTCTTTAACATAAGGTGAATGTAATTCCTACTCAATACAGCACATGAGCTCTGCCAGGAAACAGTTATGTACTCCCTTCCATTAGTACCGGTGTTAAATAGTCAACATTCAACATACACTGTATTGTTCACACGAATCCTTTTAGTAGTGATTTAACATTAAACATACAATTTATTCTAACATGGACTAAAACTGTAATGTTATATTTCTGAAGATTGGAATAGATTTAAAACACAATTTGTGGGGTGTGTTTGTTTTAAATACAGGTCAAAATGGTTCTCTATTCAACTAGTATTAGAAATTAGAAAAAGCAGCATCTCTTATTCACACTCCAACAGGGCATGCTTTGACACAGTTAGAAATCAGTGCATCTCTAAGGGCATCATTCCACAGCTACTTACAAGTAGGTATAATGCATGAATAATCCCATTTATATACTCATGGTACTAACAAAGTAGCAAGCACGGTCTTTGGTGGTGGATTACCAGCCTCTTGGATAGGAGTTTGAGTAACAGAAGGAAAAAAAGCTGTCCTTTAATTCAAGCTACTGTATACGATTCCTTTAAGCATTTTTTCTTTTGAATGTGTATAAACAAAGCAGTTCTCTTCAGTACATACATAGCTTTTCCAATAGCTGTAAATATTCCTAAGAATAATTAAACTAATGTTCTCTTTATGCAATACACACACTGCTAGACAGGGGCATTTATTGTAGCCCTTATAGAACGATCTACATCATCACTTATGTCAGAATCCTTACAAAGATACATTAATTTTAAAGCCTGTGTTGCAAGGTAGGAAGGGAGTTTGATTTTATCCCATTGCTCAGTAGAAGGGAAGTCTAAATAGCCTCGTAGTCTATCGAACAGACGCTGAATCCTTATTTTGCAGGCAAACAGCAGCAGTTCTTCTTCACATACAGGTTTTGGCGGTGGAAGTTGATCAGGGTGCCTTACCTTTGAGGGAAAGAAGGAATGTGGGTGGAGGGGGAGAGTAATAAAATGTTTGTTTAGAAAAGCAATTAACAGTTCCTGGAGGAGCAAAACTTTCAACAGCAAAAACACGAGCAAAACTTGCAAGTCACAGGTACCAGTCAGAAAAACTGTACCCAGCAACAGGAGCATAAACCTGGCTCCCCCATTCAACCCCTGTGAGGGTAGGCACTCTCTCTTCCTATCTCATGGCAAGTCACATGTTGTATGCTCCTGCTAATTAAAGACTAAATTTGCTGGTCTTATTGTTTTTAATATCACAAGACAACAATGTGAAACATGTAAAATGCTCAAGTGATTGAAATAAAACATTTTAAACAAATTAAGATGGAGATACCCATCTGTAGGCATTTTACCTGACTCCAACAACAAGAGTGCTCTGCATAATTTAATCCATGCCCCATTCCCCATGTCTCTACAATCTACCTACAGAATCCACATGCAGATTTCTGTATAGTGGGGCTGTGTTTGGCTGCTGCAGACCAATATATGGATTATTTGGGAGAGTGGTGGTGGAATTAGCAGGAGCACTTAGTCTAATTCTGAAAATAGACACAAACTTTGAGAAAGACAGACTAATTTATGCATAAAGGGATAGGACGATCTCTATTTTGAAACATATCCCACATCCCTTTGAGTTCAATATCCTTATCTAGGATTGCAAGTTTCTTTATATCTATAAAATTATTTACTGAAAGTTGTAAGGATATTTGTAAAGAGTACTGTCAACAGAACCCAGATCCATTACTGCCTGACTAGAAAAAAAAATCTAAAAACAGAGAGACTGTAAAGTGATCCTAGGAGAGACCCCTGCAGAGCAACACAGATTGCTTGTAATGGATTTCTGTGTGAGAAAACTAGTGGGTAAAAGACATGCTGAGTTATGGAGGTTTGTGGACAAGGAAGATAACCTGAGACTTAAGGAGGAGGTCCTATAGAGCAACAACAAACTGACGTAATCATACCAACAAGGTTGGGAAAATAGCCAAACATTTAACAGAAAATAGACAAGCTGCTTGTGGCTAAACAATAAGAGGGAAATTTAATGGCATGGAGATGTGTGGGTGATTCAATGTTGTGTGTGTGAGAGACTATGGTAATGTACCTGCACTTTTGTTCCCACGTTGAATTTGGCTTGTTGCCCCATAGCAAGAAAAGTCACCACAATCTTATCTTGTCCAACTATCCTGACACCAACATAGTGGTTCAAGGATATAAAGATGGGTTTAAACGAAACACGGGGTCCAGAACTGATCAAACTACTTGGCCATGTCCACATTCGCACCCTATTGCCCGATGGGTCTGAATATTGTCCTCCATGAATATTTATGTTTATCCTAAACAAGAAGGAAATAAATGAATAAAATTAGTGCTTTTCATAGTAGATCATGCATTGCTTTTACTAATATAATGTAAACTGACTCCTGCAAATGTTTACTGTCCTGAAATCAAGGAACTACTAACAGTCTGGAGGATTGGGCCCTTATATGTCTAACCCTAGGCCATAGTCATTGGGATTTGTTCTGCCGAGGTAGGTCATAAAAGAAAAGGGGGGGAGGGTAGTGGGCTTGATTTCAAATGGCATTGAAAGTCCTCAGCCCCTCTGGGAGATGCTCAACTCCAATTGAAAGCTAAAGCTGCTCAGGGAGTTTGGCTCCTTGCAGAGTTGAACCCTAAATACCTAGAAATAGAAAAACAACAACCTTTCACCCCAGTGTGTTTTCTTCAATTTACTGCACAGTTTCCAAGGCGTTATGTTTACTAACTTTACCGTACAGTGGTTTACACAAATGTATTGCTTATTTGTGGGGGCAGAGAGTAAAAAGTAGAATTGGTGTTGACAGTTTTCCCCATCCATCATCCCACTCTAAGGCTTTTTAGGTCCCAGGGAAGAGTCCTCAGTGCACAAAATGCAGAACTACAAACACTGTATGGCTTCGTCTACACTGCAAGTTTTTGAAGCAGAAAATAGGTAGTGTAGCTGCTTCTGTTTTGCGCATAAAACCACTTTTGCACCAGATCCTTAAGCCTTCCAGAGCGGAGTTTTTGTGCAAAAACGGAAACAGCTACACTGCTTCTTTTTGTGCAAAAGCCCCTTGCACAAAAAGTATTGGCACAAAATATGCTAATGATGTGACTCATGCTAATGAGTCCCTTATTAGCATATTTTCTGCTGCAAAAATGTGCAATGTAGACATAGCCTATATTATAGGGGTTGTTACATGTCTAGTTTAGAGGCAGTTATAATTTTCATCTAAGTCGTTACCTTTGCATTACATTGACTATATATGGGCCCCGATCCCACAAACATTTCATACGTGCTTAAGCCGAAGCATGGTTCTATTCACCTTAAGGGGCTTGCTTATGTGCATGCTAACCTGTCTGTAGGAGCACAGCTTCAGAACATAAGTAAAACTTCACACTGGAAAGTACCCAACCTAAGCCATAGCTTGGCATTTTAATTTATTTTAAAGGTGCTATTAAAATGCTCATTTTTAAACAGGGGAAAATAATTCTTCTGAGCTACAGATGTGTCAGCATATGCTAAACAGAAAACAAAGGTGAATTGATTTACATGGACATACCATACAATTCCATTGGGATGATAGCAAGTACCTTTGCCGCTGGACTCAAACACTGCTTGGATTGCTGCATTACTTGGATTGTCTTCCTGTACTACACAAATATAACCTCTCCTCTTTTGCACAATAATAACTGCCAGATTGCCAGATGGATAGCTATGTCCAGATAAGGGGTTCAATGTCTCATTGTTTGGCTAGCAGAACTTCCCTATTATCAAGCAATCAGTAGTTTTGATCAGTGCATTATAATACAAAAGTCGTCACCTCAGTGTAGGGGATTGTTTAAGGCAGTGAGGCTGAACTAGCAATGTTTTAACCAAGGGGCCCTGCTTAGGCTGGCCTTTTAAGATAAGCTGGGCTCAGCCTTGCCTGTGCCCTGGCAGCTATCCTGCAGGTGAGTGTGATGGTGATAATTATAGTGACTTTCCTCAGCTGCAGGGAGGTCCGAGCCAGCTGCATACACAGAATGGAGAACTCAGAGTGGGAAGAAATAGAAGAACTTTTTCCCCCCAGGAAGTGCCTGGGGGAGTTGAATTGGAAGAGACTTCCCATGGAAAAGGTATGGTACCTTTAGGGACAATCCTGAGATAGAGCCTGTTAGAGTGGGGATGCCCCTGAGGGAAGCTACCAGATTCCATGGGAAAGGGAAAGAATGGAGGGAGAAAGCCAGACTCATAGATGCTTATGCAGGACTTGGGAGTAGTGGCTAGGCCAAGAAGAGCAAACCTCAGTGTAGGGCAGCAGAACTATTAATTCAATATTTATGTGGACTTACAGTTGAATCTCATATCACCCTGGATGAGAACTGAACTTTTAAGTGACCTGGTAGCAGGATAAGGTTACAAAGAAGACTAAGACAGGCTACTTTGGAGCCAAGGAGATGGCCAAGTCCCTTGTAACAGAGGATGAATGATAGTAAGAGCAACTGCTTACAAGCTTTCAGGAGAATGTCTTATTGTAGCCTGTCAGGAACCCTGTGTACAGGTGGTCTGTATGCAAATAGAAAAGAGTGGTAAGGGATGGAGGAATCTATGCAGGCATTTTAAATAGAAATGATTCCTTGCAATAGTAACCAAAGAGGGAGGTAATGACACTCTTGGTGGTGCATTGTTGGAGAGTTTGCTGCAAAGTAAAAACAAGAGGATCTTAGAGTGTTACAATGGAAAAGAGAGTTTCCGGACTATGGCGTCACTTGAAGCTGTTATATTTCTGTTGAGTTTAAACAGTTTTTGATGTCTTATAAATTCATGGCTTGTAACTGTCCATGGTATCTACTACATGCTCCTTTTTAAACATATGACACTTCTCCAAAAGCTTAATCTTATATATACCAATTAAAAGTCATTTTCAAGAATGGACATGCATGGGGAAGGGGAGAGGAGGCATATATCAGCAGTGTTTGTTATAAAATCTTACTGTGTTGCCCCTGCTACCCTCTCACATAGAAATCCAATCTAGTGCTTCAAACAGGCATCTGCTTTTCATGAAATATTGTCAGGTAATGCTCAGTTGTGACTATACAACAGGGGTATCCAAACTTTTTTCAAAGAGGGCCAGATTTGATGAAGTGAACATGCGTGAGGGCCGACCATTTTGCCTGACATTCTTTGAACCATTAAAATTAAATGCAAATTAACTATTTTATGCAAAGTTTATTGCAAACGGCATACTTTTCATTTCGTCACATGATGACAAATCTAAACAGGTGTTAAATCACTCTGCCTTTCATATCTGAAGGCCAGATGAAAAAAAAATCCAGGACGCTGAAATATATGTCAGGAACATTGTAAAGTACATTACATATTATTGGTAATAAAGGTTGTCTGTCAACTTTTAAGTTCAAAAAATATGAACAGGAACATAACACCAAGTATACATGTTGTGTCCAAATATATTTATAACTGATTTAGACCAACTGACATTAACTGAGATTTTACAATGTATTCATCTCAATACATATGGATTCGTTGGGGGCCATAAAAGATAGATATTGCCAAATTACCTGTGGGGCCGTATTAAACCGGAACACGGGCCGCAATTGGCCCGCGGGCCGGACTTTGGACATGCCTGCTATACAACGTACATAGCTTGCAGCTATCACTGCAGTAACACTTAGCACCTCTCCAGCAGCTGCAGCCCTTTAGCATAAACAGAAGTTAATCCTCTGTCAGGAACAGCTTTCTTAGATTTAGACTGGAATTGTTGGCCTTTATACTCATAAAATACTAATGACCATTGCAAGCCTAAATTGTCAAGTGAGTGGTAATTTTTGGGTGCCTAATTTGACACAATGTGAAGGGACCTGACATTTACATGATAGATATTCAGTCCTTCCTGAAAATCAGGGACAATTTAAGGTGTCACTAGTGGCTCTTGAAAATCTCAATCAATTTTTTTCATTGAGTGTTTTGTTTGGGCTGTGTTAGCAAATGTGAGTGATACTTCAAGTATTTTGAGGTAAAAGGAATTGATCTGTTAAGATGTTACCGAATTGCTGGACTGCTTTGGTACATGAGCCTTGTGAAGGATACAATAATTGTGCTGTACCATCTGGAAATACGGTAAGGAACTTTCCTCTGTGTCTGTAGTATTTTTCCAGGAACTGTTGCTTCACTAGCTACATATTAAAAAGAAGAGAAAAATGCTGAGTGGAATCATCACATTAACCTCAAAGGTGCAAGCTAGCTCCCAGCTGTTCATGTGTTTATCTTCTGAAGAGTTTAGTGCTTTATTATATCCACTGTCTACAGGAAGGCCTGGTTCTTAGCTTGGAGTTTTAAAAAAAAAAATTGTCTCCCACCCTCCACATGTCACTTGGATCTGTCCCCTGAAGACTTTACAATCTAAGGCCATGTCTACGCTACCAGTTTCCACACTTGGGTCACAGGCCTGCCCAAGTAGGCTGCTGGCCAGCCTGCAATGCTTTGTTTATTCAAGTGTCAACACCCATGGAGCCTCACAGCTCCCATTGGCTGTGGCTTGCCATTTTTAGCTAAGGGGAACTGTGGGAAGCAGTGTCAGTTCAGGCCACACATTTTCCTACAGCTCCCCTTGGCTGGAAACAGTAAACTGCAGCCAATGGGAGCTGCAAGGCTCCATGGCTACGGATGCTTGAATAAACAAAGTGTCGTGGGCCTGCCAGCAGCTTACCCAGGTGGGCCCACAACCCAAGTTTGAAAACGGGTGGTCTACACTACCACTTTTGACTTTATAACCTATGTTGCTCAGGAGTGTGGAAAAAGACATCCCTTGAGTGATGTAAGTTATATAGACCGACAGGCCGATGTGCCCAGTGCTATGTTGGTGGGAGAACTTCTGACAATGCAGCTACTACTGCTTGAAAAAGTGGTTTTATTATTTTGACAGGAGAGCAGCATAGGGCATCTACCCAAGTTTTCTTACAGTAGTTTGGCTATGTCTTTGCATTGATACAGCTGTGTTGCTGTAAGCTTGCTAAAATAGCTATTGCCTAAATCTAGAACAAGGTGGTGGTAATGGTAGCCATACAATTGCTTTAGACATACACCTGAAGGGTTGTGAATTTGAACACCAATCTCCAAACCACTGGGTCTAGTGACTTAATAACTAGATCCTGCTCCCCTGCTACGTGTTTCAGCTCATTTTGTTTCTCAATGAAAGGACTGCTCTATATTCCCATTTCAGTCACAAGCTAAGATGGAGGGCACTACCAGGTAACAAAAGGAAATTATCAAGACTCTGATTATTCAGAAACATCAAATACTGAAGTCACTAAATCTGTCCCAGTGTTGATTGACTGCTGGCAAAGCAGTAAATTGCTGGCTAAGGTCTCTCTGATAAAGGAACTGATGGAACTGCGGGGCAGAATATGGTGGAGCGTGGAGAGATCAGCTCTCTAAACTCGGGAGTTTGAGTTCCTGCCCTCTTGCACCCTATTCCCAATGATAAGGGGCAGTGAAAGGCCTATATATCATTTAAGTCCCCTTAGGTCCTTCTTAAATGGTACATGGCCCTGTGCAAAGAGGTGAATATCACCCTGGAAGGGTCAGACCCAAGAGTGGGGATCTATCACAATGAAAGTACAAGAGGTGTTACCTTTCCACCTGCAATGGTAAAGTCACAGCAAGTAACATTGTAGTTAACTGCCTCATTCTCATCTTTTTCATCTGCCTCATAAGGCATGAGAGTCCAACCTCCAGGGGAGGGTGGCTCACGGGAGAGCTGGTATGAAATGGTTTTGAGTTGCTTTGAGTCTAAGGAGAAAAGAAAAGAGTTACATACTTATAGGTGAGGCACTAGGAGTATAACCTAATATTAAGTTTGCCCAAACTTTCCCATTAGAAGACCCTGTTTTCAGTTTCCTGTAAATTGCAAACATCAACTGTTTTGTCCTGAAATTTTTCATGCTAAGTGTCTGCCCTGGCTTGACTGTTTGTTTTTGTTTGTTTGTTTTTTGGTGGGACTATTTCAGCCAAAATGGATTGGCCATTTCAGAGAAGGCAGCTATGGAAAAATAAACTGTTAAATCCTTGATACCTTCTGTCTGAAATTCTCTGGTGCCTACCTGCTTTGTGACAGAGTTGAAAGTTGGCAGAGGGGTGGTCTTTGTGTCAAGGATGTGCATTTTGCCATTCCTTTGGAAATCTGCCCAAATTATAAACATTTGAAAAATTCAGTCTCTGTAGAGACTTGCTAATGCTTATCAGCTAAAATCTCTGAGAGTTCTGTCCTCATGGGGCATGTTCCCTCCTCTCCGAGATGTCCTCTTTCTTATTTATACAAAATTTGCATCCACATCCGTATTTGCAGAAATAAGCTAGGGATATCTGCATTCGCATCCACAGATGCAGATACCCATGGATATCTGTTTATTTGCAGTGTTCTAGAAATAAAAACTGTATCCACATCTGTATCTGCAAAAATGAGCCATGAATATAAAGCAGATACCCACAGATATAAAATGGATGTCTGTGGTTTTGCAGGGCTCTATATTTATCACACCTTCAATTTCTGTGCATTCTGCAAGCTTTCTCTGTGATAATTTTATGTCTTCTTCCAGATTGATACAAATGTTAGATAGTGTAGGGTCAAAAACAGATCTCTGCAGGACCACACTAGAAACATGCTTGCTTAATGACAATTCACCATTTCCAATTATATTTTGAGGCTTAAAAGTGATCTGATTTTTAATCTATTTAAAGTGTGTTAATTGTATATCATTCTAGTTTTAATCAAAATACTGTGCAAGAACATGTCAAATTCCTTACAGAAGTCTATTACATCAATTTAAAAAACAACAAATAGTTCTGCAGCATCTTAGAGACTAACAAAAATGTAGATGGTATCATGAGCACAAAAGTTCATGATACCATCTACATTTTTTGTTAGTTCTGCATCACCTTAGAGATTATTTGGCTATGTCTATACGGCGCCTGTTTTGTGCAAGAAATATGCAAATGAGGCTAAGTGTGGAATATTGCTGAGCCTCATTTGCATAATTAATGAGGCTCCGTTTTTGCACAAGAGGCTTTTGTGCAAGAGCCATTCTTCCTGAAAAAATGAGAAGGAACGGTTCTTGCGCAAGAGAGGTTTTTTGCGTATGTAGACAGCTCCTTTTTGCACAAAAGCCTATTGTGCAAAAACAGAGGCTAATTATACAAATGAGGCTGTGATATTCCACACTTAGTCTCATTTGCATATTTCTTGTGCAAAACAGGCGCAGTATAGACATAGCCTTAGTCTGTGACTGAAAAAAACCACAAACATAGCTACCCCTATGCTCATCATCTAATAAACTATCTTGTTAGTCTTTAAAGTGCTACATAGTCCTGTATTTTGTTATAGCTATCCCTCTGAGACTTTTATTACATCAGTGACATTCCCTTTATCAACCAAAGTTGTAATCTCATAAAAAACAAATCTAGTTAATTTGACAGGATCTGTTTTCCATAAATGCAGGTTGATTTGCATTTACATGACCCTGATCAGTGACTCCATTATCTTACCCTACATCAATGTTGGGCTGATAGGCCTATATTTTCCAGGTCATGCTGTTTACACTTTTTAAAACCTGGCACATTAGCTTTCTCCCAGTCTTCTGGAACTTCTCCAGTGCTTCAACACTTACTGAACAGCAATATTAATGTCAGCTCTCTTTCAGCTCATTTAAAATTCCTGGACACAAATTATCTGGGCATAACTTTAGAAGCTTCTGTTTAAGATGCTCCAGAGATATTAATGGAATATAAAGAGTGTTATCACTAGATGTGATTAAATCATCTGTTTTTTCCTGCAAGTACAGAACAGAAATACTTAGGCTGTGTCTAGACTGGCAAGTTTTTCTGCAAAATCATCTGCTTTTGCGGAAAAACTTGCCGCTTGAATTTCCGGAAAAGCACGGACGATCTCATGTAAGATCGTCAGTGATTTTTCCAGAAATACTATGCTGCTTCCGTTCGGGCAAAAGTCTTTTTCTGAAAGACTTTTGCGCAAAAGGGCCAGTGTAGACAGAACAGTACTGTTTTCCGCAAAAAAGCCCCGATCGCGAAAATGGCGATCGGGGCTTTTTTGTGGAAAAGCGCGTCTAGATTTGCCATGGACACTTTTCCGCAAAAAGTGCTTTTCCAGAAAAGCGTCCTGCCAATCTAGATGCTCTTTTCCAAAAATGCTTGGAACGGAAAACTTTTCCGTTAAAAGCATTTCCGGAAAATCATGCCAGTGTAGATGTAGCCTTACTGAATACTTCTGCCATTTCTGCATTATTATTGATAATTCTTCCATTAGCATCTAGCAATGGACCTAAGCCTTTATTAGGATTTTTTTTGTTCCTAACATTTTAGAAACTCCTTATTTTCCTTAACTCTACTCTTCTGGCCACAGATTTCTCCTTATGCCTGTTTGCTTCCCTTATCAATTTCTAAAACTCCTAACTTCTGATTTTTTTTTTCCATTCCTAATGCCTCCCCTTTCTTCCTTATCTCATTTATAGTCATCTTCACTTCTCTCTAAATCTGGTCAGATTTTTTTTTTAACCAAGACAGGCTTCTTCCTCAGTTATGGAATTTTGGGCATCTACTAAAGTGTTCTTAAATGATTCCCAATTATCATTGAAGAGAAGTAATAGATTGGAAAGGACTATCAGGGCAAGAAGACTGAAACTGAGATGACTGACCAGAGGAATGGTGACTAGAATGGGATAAGAAAGGAGAATGGAATAGGGACAAGGAGCCAGTTAAACCGGGTGCAGCACACCACTAAAAGACTAACTGGCTGGCTGTGGGTAGCAGGGGGTAATGAATGTATGTGTGGGGGGGGGGAGAGGGGAGGAGTGGGACCTGGCACCCACAGCAGGGATCTGCCTTCAGGAGAAGCTTTGAATAATGTGCATCAAAAAAGGCCCAGGATCACACATTGAACAATGTGGATAAACAAAAGGTTTGAATAGCTTCTCATTAATCAAGCATCCTGTGCACTGAATGAAGCATGGGCTTGTGGAAAAACTAATATGTGCTCATGTCACAGCAGACTGTACGTGTGCAAAGGGGCCAAGAGAAGGTTGCCTGTCAACCTTAATTCTGGCATTTCCTAACTGGCTTTGCAAACGGTGTGTACTGTTAAGGTAGCGTCTGTGTAAAATTGTATATTAAAGCAAACAGTTCAAACACAAACCTTTGAAGTCTGTATAAAAGAACCCACCTGTGTAACCCTGTAACACAATGGTGCCTATTTTTTTTCCACACTAGAAGCCACCTTAATCTAAAAGGGATGGCACACCTGATAATAAATTAGGCCATGTCTACACAGCAGTGTTGTAGTAGTGTGTGTCTACACAGCAAGCCCGTTATTTCAAAATAACAGGCTTCTTACTCTGACTCTTGTAATACTCCTTGTACAATGAGGAAGGGAAGTTGGGGGAAGAGTGCTCTATTTCAAAATAATTGCTATATAGACAGCGCCAAAAGTCGAAATAAACTATTTTGACTTAAGCTACGCTAGTTGCGTAGCTTATTTTGACTTTGGCCCTGCTGCATAGACATGCCCTTAGAGAGCAGTCATTGACATCCACGTTCAGTGAGAAAGCTGTTTCAACTCACACAAATTTTCAGTTGAAGATCATTGTAACAGTTAAAAAAAAACTCACAATCAACTAACGTGGTCTGCTCTGCTGCCATGAAGGCAAACTGTTTTGCCATTTGTCTCTCCTGTTGCCTACAAAGCAAAAACATACAGGACATCAGTTCCAAGCTTCTTGCTTTGAAAGGTACAAGTACAATTCAGATGTCCTGGCAACAATAATGCAAGTTGGCTGATTTGTGACAGGTATTTTGGGTCTGATTCTCCTTTTACTTATGCAACTGTAAGTGACTCCATTGATGACAGTGGAATAATGTCAATATGAAATCTGTTCACAAAAGGAGAACTAGGCCCATTTATAAGTTACCGTATGATGTAAAATATGATGGTTACTTGATTGTTGTTTGACCAGCTCTATGAATGAGCTAAAAACTGTAAGGTATGCAAATATGCCTCTTGTATAGAAAATATTTGATGTCTTGCAAGATTCTGTAACTGATATAGATAGACAGAACATAACGGAAAGTACAGAATATGGAGGTAAGTGGCAGAGTTGGAAATTTCTCTTGCTTATGATGAGGATATTTACTGTCATGATAAAACGAAAACAAAAATTCTGTCAGTAACACTGAGAAGCTGGAAAACAAAGCATTCTTAAGCTCAGAACTCCTGTGGTCTGATAAGACTGAGTCAGAAAATATGGTTTTTCTTTGCACTCAGTGGCTGAGAAGTCTGGTGAGTTCTAAATTAATAGACTGTGTGTCAGGTTTTATTTTTGGAGGAAGACTTCTGCACTCCTATGAGTTATCTTGACAAGCTGACCAAGGTTTTAAATATGCAGCATCTTTTGAAACAGCTATGACAGTAAAAGCATACTAGATTTCAAGATGGGATGACTAGAATAGATCCAGACTATGCAGATTTCCTAATCAGAAAATAATGGCCTCTCTCTTACAGTTTTGTATCCAGCACAGCTTCAGGTAGGTTATGCTGGCTCAACACACTTCTAAAGTCTGCTCAAGAATCTGTCCTAATAAGCCAATCCTGGGCAAGCCATGGCAGGAATGGATTAAGAAGAAACAAAACAGAAAATTGAGGACTGTTACTTAATGCTATTCTGTGATATTCTCTTTAAGTTTATAATGCGTTCAGCTTAATCTTAAATTTGGCACATAGTGCATTATACTTTCATTTATAGGAGTACTTCTAAATTATAGAAGTACATGAAAGATAGAAATGTTCTTAACTTTTTCCCTGACACTTTATTTTTGTTTGTTAAGTTTGTGGAATTGGCTCAGATATTTGCACTTGCTTTTAAAGGCTTCCTTTTAAGGGCAGAAAAACTGGAGTGCACAGTAAAATAAGCAGTATAATGGATGATCAGTCCATACTGCAGTGGGACTACCACTCTATCCAATTAATCTCTTTTTACAACTGATAGTTGTGCAGATGGCTAGAATTAGTTTATCTGGTTATTAACCTTCAGCTTGGACATGCAAAAGGCTCTACTAATGCCCTTTCGAACTAGATTTGTACAGCTGAGCACTGGCATTAGCCTATTTCTACTGCTCCTTGCAGCTCCATCCTATTTTGCTTTCCTCTTGCTTCAAGGAAGTAGAGACTTCTATAAAGTCACCATTTCATTTGATTGGTGGTATTTGGTTGTGTTGCTACTGTAGGTAGTGATGGAATTTGGAGGGAACTTTTTATTGTTTACTCATTATCTTGCAGAAGAGCAACCTGCTCTATTGTCTTGAATACCTAAAAGGTTGTGGGAGGAGAGGTATTCTGCATGGCTACTCACAGAAGTATCATTTGTTACTAAAACAATCTAATAAAATCCCTCTAAAGTGATCTAAGTAGTAATATTGTGGGATTGTAGGGGAGTTACCATAGATCTTTGAATGCCATTACACCAAGGACCTGACCCCATAAATATTAGGGCTGTCAAGTAACTGAAGTTAATCGCAAGACTAATCAAAAAAATTAAACAGTAGGATGGCAACTGAAATTAAACATATTAGGGCTGTCAAGTAATTGAAGTTAATCGCAAGACTAATAAAAAAAAATTAAACAGTAGGATGGCAACTGAAATTAAATATTTTGGATGTTTTTCTACATTTTCAAATATACTGATTTCTATTGCAACTCAGAATACACAGTGTATAATGCCCACTTACTATTTTTGATTACAGATATTTGCACAGTAAAACTGATATAGCACTTTTCAGTTCACTCTGTACAAGTACTGTAGTGCAAACTCTTTATTGTGAAAGTGCAACTTACAAATGCGGACTGTTTTGTTTTTGAGTACAGTTATGTAACAAAACAAATGTAAAGCTTTAGAGCCTATAATAAGCGCATTCAGTCGTCGTCCTTGTTCAGCCAATCAGTACAAACAAGTTTGTTTATATTTATGGAAGATAATGCTGTTGGCTTATGTACAATGTCACCCAAAAGTAAGAAAAGGTGTCCGCATAGCACTTTTGTAGCTGACATTCTAAGGTGTTTAATTTGCCAGATATGCTAAACATTCATATGCCCCTTCATGCTTTGGCCCCCGTTCCAGAGGACATGTTTGCATGCTGATGATGCTCATTAAAAATGTATGTGTTTAAGTTTGTGACTGAAATGCTTGGGAGAACTGTATGTCTCCTGTTCTGTTGTACCAACATTCTGCCATATTTTTCATATGATAGCAGTCTTGGATGATGATTCAGCATATGTTGTTCATTTTAAGAACACTTTCACTACAGTTTTTACAGACTGCAAAGAAGGTACCAACTGTAGTGTAAGTGTTCTTAAAATGAACAACATATGCTGAATCATCATCCAAGATCAAAATCTGAAAGGGACAAAATGCAGAGCATGCTTTCAGATGTCTTAAAATAGCAACATTCTGATGCAGAAATCACAGAACTGAACCACCAAAAAAGAATATCAAACTTCTGTTGGCAGCATCTGACTCAGATGATGAAAATGAGCATGCATAGGTCTGTTCTGCTTTGGATTGTTATTGAGCAGAACCTGTTGCCAGCATGGAGACGTCTTCTGGAATGATGGTTGAAGCATGAAGGGACACATGAATCTTTAGCATATCTGGCATGTAAATGTGTCCTTTCATTCTTCTTGAGATGCTGATTACAACAATGCCACACGAATGCCTGTTCTCACTTTTGGGAAACACTGTAAACAAGTGGGCAGCATTATCGTCTGCAAATTATAACTAAACTTGTTTAATAATAGGCTGAACAAGAAGTAGGACTAAGTGGACTTGTGTTAGTTCTACTTCTTGTTCAGCCTATTGTTAAACAAAGTGGACTTGTAGGCTCTAAAGTTTTACATTGTTTTATTTTTGAATGCAGTTATTTTTATACATAATTGTATATTTGTAAGTTCAACTTTCACAATAAAGAAAATGCACTGCAGTACTTGTATTAGGTGAACTGAATACTGTTTGTTTTGTTTTTTATAATGCAAATATTTGTAATAATATAAAATGAGGACTGCACACTTTGTATTCTGTGTTCTCATTGAAATAAACATATTTGAAAATATAGAAAACATCCCAAATTATTTATGTAAGTGGTAATCTATTGTTTAACAAAGGTGTTCTCATTGAAATAAACATTTGAAAATATAGAAAACGTCCAAAAATATTTAGGTAAGTGGTAATCTATTGTTTAACAAAGTGATTACTTTTTGTAAACGGTTGACAGCCCTAATATCTCTTTCTATTTCACATACAATATAACTTTGAAGAAGTGCTGAAAACTCATAACTCAGATAAATGTCAAATTTGCCAGTACTGAGCACTTTTGACAAGTGGGTGCTGAAATCTCTTGTTCAGTTTTGTTACCTTAAAACAGAGGCATCCAAAATGAGCATCTCACTGAAAAACATGGCTTAAGCATTTGGGGTAATATTTAGGCCTTAAATACTTATGTGTAGTATATGATGTGATGATGAGTCTGGTTTCACCTATTCTGGAGATTACTAAAGCCAAAGATGTCACTAAAATAATATCAAGTAATACACAGTGCAAGTGGAGAGTGTGCTAACATGCTGACCAGGCACTCTGGACTTTTCCTGACATATATTCCACCTATTTCAGCACACTCTCCACTTCAGCTGTGTATTAACATGCTGACCAGGCACTCTCTGGACTTTTCCTGACATATATTCCACCTATTTGTTGCAGATTCTCTTTTCACTCCCATTGAGCTTCTATGCATTGTCTCCCCCAGGTTAGAATGTTGCTCCTGAAAAGAACTACATGCACAGCATTATATTAACCAGCAAATAGTACCTCTGATACGCTTTCTCCCTTGCTTTCTGCCTGTCCGCTTCACTGCCGTGGGCTGCATGAGGGTCAATGGAGATTGACTCACTTCTAGAACTCTCATAATATTTTTTTTCAGTAATGATGTACTCGTAGAGATCCTGATTTTGCTCACAACAGAAAAACTGAAAAGCAAAGCAGTGGTGTTACTCCAGTAGGGGCTGATTCATGGAGAAGAGCTGTGAATTCATGATTCATAGAGAAGCGCAGTTGCTTACTGTTTCATAATCTTCAGAGGTTGGGTCAAACGCCTCATAGGAAGGAAAATGTTTCAGCAAGTTGCCACAGTACTCGCATGTTGCACTAAATTCCTCTTCAATCTACAACGGGAATGGGAGAGGAAAACAAGGATTTGTACATCTATCTATAATCTTCCTATTCTAGGAAAAGGTGGCACCTTTGAAAATGCCAGGTTTAAATTCTTTTACCTCAGTCTCTGCATGCACAACCAACCTTCTGAACTATCAGGACATTTTGAAGACTATTATTGGCTCACTTTTATTTCCTAAGGAGATTACCAAGCATTCTAAGGCTAAGTCTTCACTGGCACTTTACTGTGCTGTAACTGTCCGGTTTAGGGGTACGAAAACACTCCTCCACCCCCCAGCACAGCAAGTTACAGTGCTCTACAGCGCCAGTGTGAATCAGGCTACTGTGCGGGGAGCCACACTCCCAGTGCTGTTAGCCATTCCTCTTGTGGAGGTGGTTTACATAGCGCTCGGAGAACTCTCTCCCAGGGCTTGTGCTGTGGCCATAGAGGTGGTTTACACAGCGCTCGGAGAACTCTCTCCCAGGGCTTGTGCTGTGGCCACACTTTCAGCACTGTGCTTAAACTTTTACAAAGCCTAAGTTACCCAATTCATTTGTTTGAAGATTATTAAGAGCTGTCTAGCTCCTGCTGAGTTGGTGACAGAGGGGTCTGGGCAGTGTTGCATATTTATAATGGCACAGGTTCCTGGCAAAAAGTATTTTCAGAGACTTTTTCTTCCTTCCTCTGTGGCTTATTTATTTATTTATTTCACAGGATATTTGTTAGTCCCAGTGCAATGGATAAAATCATTCATATAAATGATCAAGAATGTTTCAAGGGTAGCTCTGGTCAGTGGAACACTCTGTTTCTGGCTCCCAACCCTGACAGAATGATGTTTAGATTGCGTGGCCATTATCTTATTTCTGAAGCAGTGTTGTCCCTGTTAGAGAAACATATATCACATTGGGCTTCCCAGCACTATGTACTGTGCATGTATCTTAATATATAAACCACAATAAAACTCTATATCTCAGTTTTTGTGAAAACTAGATTTTCTCCTAGAAATGTATCCTCAGCATTAAAAAAGTGTGGATGCTTACACAATCTAATATTTTGGTAGGTGGCTTACACATTTCAATGCCTTAGCAAAAGAAAACCTATCCCTTCTAAAGAAACCCTTGCAAGATGAGTTTGACAGAAGGCAGCATCCTACATTGATTAAATGTTTGCCTCCTGCGACTCTTGGAAGTTAATACAAACACAATGTAGCAGAAAGAAATATCACCTGTATCTCCAGGTCTTCTCTTGATGATTCTGGCTTATATGCTAGAATAGTTGGTGGCCCAATGTGGGACAGTGTGCGCAGAGATTCCTCAAACAGCTTTATGAAATCTTCAGTAAACTTAAATTTGAAAACAGTGAATTCAGTGTAGAGTCAGCTCTTTTTTAGCAAGAAAATTGTTAAGAATAAAATGTATAATTGTAGGAACCAGGGGCACCATACCTCTGTGTCGCACAAAATGCCTAAACTGCTGAGATCTTGTGACAGGACTGCCTCTATATCTGAACAGCAGCAATGAAATTAATTAGGGAAGGCACTGTGTTCCAGGAGAGCATTTTTTCCTAGTCTCTTGGGAGGAATTCCCTCCCTGGCTTTTCAACGCCCCTCTGCCCTCTTCCTTCACACACCCCACCTAGCTGGAACATCTTTGGAGTTTATCAGAGCACTGCTCCTAAACCTTTGTTAGGTTTATTGCCCATCAGTGTGAAACTCTTCCTTACTTTGGCAGAGGAAGGGACATATAGGCTTTTATCCCATACTGTACTCAAGCATGTGCAGTAAAACATTGGCTTAAATTTAAATAAGGAATAGTTCAATTGAAGTCAACAGGATTGCTCACTGCTTAAAGTTAAGCACTCAAGTGAAGTGATGGATCTGGGCTATAGTGGCTACAGCAGTTCCCATCTCTGCTGTCCTGAGAAGCAAGAGCTTGGAAGCTAAAGATGGGCAAAACTCCTATAAAGTCTTCTAATCCAGTGTTTCTCAACCAGTGGTACGAGTACCCATAGGGGTACTCGAGAGAAGTCTGGGGAGTACATCAGCACAACTGAAATTTGAAGAAAACTGAATTTGTTTTAAGTTTTACAGTGCTTTATTATTTTTGCACTTTTTATACCCAAAAATTTCATCACCCACCTGGCAACGATTAAGTTGGTTAAACAAATGTGTTGCAATGGTAGAAAAAAATGTGTGTGTCTGAAAACTGTAGGTACTGGGAGATACTTTTTTTTTTTTTTAAAAAAGGGGTTCTATATTAAAAAAAAGGTTGAGAAACACTGTTCTAATCCATCCCTTGCCAGTGCAGGACTGTGTCCCATATTTAACCTACACATACATATCCCAAGCAAAGGGTTTCCACCATTCCCCTCAGACAGCTATTCCTAATCCAATAGATAGGAAAAGCTTCCTGCCAGCCCTAGCATCTGTCACAATGACTCCCATTACTCAGTTATACTTCCTTATGCCACCCTCTATAATTCACCTTTCGCCTTAGTAGTTACATCCTTTACAACTTTGCAACAAGTCATATCTAATTTTGTCAGACCTTCTAACCCCAAACCACTTTTGTTGCACTTTTCTGAGTTGCCCTCCCTTTGTCACTACCCTGGCTATAGGAGCTGGTGTGCCCAGTACTGAACCCAGCACTCTAAGAGGGAAAGCAGAAGCAGCTCCTCCAAGTATCAGGTTACCATTTTCAGCAGCAGTAGCAATGTGAGCACTGTCTGTCGTGAGCTCTTCAGTCTGTCTGGGAACTAGAATTAAAATACACAGTCAACATAGGCAGTGACCAAGCTTTGACAATGTGTTAGATCTTCTCAAAACAAAGAGCTGCAGGGAATGCCCAGCTTGAGGAGAGGAAATGCCACGGAGACCAAAATATATTCCGAGTACTACACTGTGGACAGGCCTCTCTCTAACACAGCAATGTGGTTCTGTGAGACTACAGGCCCCAGGCATTCAATGCTCCATCTTGTCTCCAGTATTTCCTCTTGCAAATGGGTTTATACTGGATTTTACAAATAAATATCCATTAAAGTCTAATAGAGTAGCCCTTTTACACAGGATATCCCAGTCAACTGTGGTTGTCCAGAAAAAGGTATTAGCTGACCCATCTTGTGTCTTTCATATCTTGGGACCAGCACAGCTACAATAATACTGCCGACTCTTAATGGGCCATTCTACTTTCAATGGTCTCTTACAATATATGCCAACTACTTATCTTAAACAATCTCATCCACCTTGCATTGAGCTGTGGTGCTCTGAGTACCTTCCCCAGATCTGAAGAAGAGCTCGGTCTGAGTTTAAAAGCTTGTCTCTTTGCCAACACAAGTTGGTCCAGTATAAGATATTACTTCTTCATCCACTTTGTCTATCTAAAGTTTGGCCCAATTTGAATGACTGAGTTGAGCAGCAGAAGGAAAGAGGCCGTATATTTCCAAAACATTCAAAGCCTTTAAACAGATATCTTCCATCAGGATATGATAAACAACTATGTCGGTTATCTGCTGAGCATTCCCACCCAGACTGCTGGGCATTCTTCTTACTAGCTACACATTCTATCATGTGTTTTAATAATAGCGGTATTCAGAGAAAGTGCTAGCTAGTGGTTACAAAAAGGAGCACTCCTGGATTCTGATCCCAACTTTGACACTTGTGTAAAATAAGAAAATGCACAAATCTTTGGTTACTAGGCACCTTAGATGAAAAATGCTATAAATGTGCAATTACTGCTATGTATGTTGACTCTCACATAGTAAGCAACAGATACTTGAACTCACAAAGCCATTTCTTACAGTTTTTTCTGATATATTCATAAATCCAGCTTGTTTCTGTCTGCACTGACACTGAAATTCCTAGAGTGTTCTTCTCAGTTGAGTGATCAACATTATCAGATGTTTCTCTTCCACTACATATAAAACACAAATTGCAAATTAATTATGTATGGCAGCTGCAAAGAAATTGCTTTTGAAAATCTATTCACATAGGAGGGTTTTCCAACTTGAGTATTTAATACATTATTATAATTTTAGAGTAACACATGTATGTAGGAACAAAAGCCTAGAAACTCTTTTTTGCTATCTATAAGATTTATAGACTTACATTCAACCAAGTCAGTCTCTGAAGGTCTCCAATGGACTAGACAATTAAAATGTCCTTAAATAGCCTTTCAGATTAAAACATGAAAACCTCAGATCAATTTCTTTCTCAAAGCATTAAGAAGCAAGTAAATGAACACTAAGTTTATTTTATGTTAAAATGTTATGTTAAAGTTTTTAAAAACTTTAAAACAAAAATCCATGGTGAGAAATGTGATGAAATATATAAAGTCTGGGAAACCAGAATTAATGGAATCAGCATTTACAATTCCTGTGCTCTGCCATCAAGGTTGGCTGTTCCAACATTTGATTTTTCTCTTCTTGTGTCTGATCACAAAGACCCTGTTAAGTGTCTAAAGCTTTTATATTGATGATTCAATGCGAAGAGCCCATTACTCATGAATAAACTTGAAGACAACAAAAATGTAGATGCAGGCATAGGGAAGGAAAAAATGTTCAGTAGGTAAAGTGTTATCAATGTTAACTAAAGTCTATTGTAAACAGCACTGAGTTAAAAATTTTAGAAATCTCTCATGTATCCCCTCAATTTCTAACACTTCATGCAGAAGATTACAATCCACATCAGCTATACCATCCAAGCTATAAATAAAGCATAACATCAAATCTAAAATTAGGTCTGATCTACACTAGAAAATTAGATCATCCAGCTATGTAGCTCAGGAGTGTGAAAAATCCATCCTGCCCTTCTCTGAATGACATAGTTAAGGTGACCTAAATCCCCGTGTTGATTAGGTTGATAGAACAATTGTTCTATCAACCGAGCTATTCCTTCAATGAAATGGATATATGGGCTGCATCCGGGTTGACCTCCAAAATAATTTTCAGGCTGCCAAAAGTACAGATCTTTTTGTGGGGCCTCCTTAGCCTTGGACTGCAGCTACTCAAATCCCTGGGTCCTGGTTCCTCTGCATACCACCATTCCTCTCCCCATCCGCCCTGGGCTGGAGCTGCAAGCACTGGAAGCTCTGTTCATGGCTTCCCTTATCTGTAGGCTCCGTCCCTGCAGCTCCCATTAGCCAGGAATTGTGGCCAGTGGGAACTGTGGGCAGTCGTGCCTGTAGGCTCCACAGGGCAGTACACAGAACCACCTGCTTCCTTTCTTCCCCGGGGTCTGCGCCATCAAAGGGGAGCTACCCCAGGTAAGGTCCAAGCCCCCCAACCTTCTGTCCTGAGCCATCTCTTGCACCCAAACTCCATCCCAGACTCTGCACCTCTATCCCTGAGCCCCCTCCCTGCAACCTAACTCCCACCCAGGTTCCACATCCCCATCGCACCTCTATCCCTGAACCCCCTCCTGCAACCTAACTCCCACCCAGGTTCCACATCCCCATCTGCAGTCCTTAGCACCCCAAACTCTAACTCCCTCAAAGACCCTGCACCCCACCTCCTATCCTGAGCCCCCTCCTGCATCCCAAATGTGTCCTCTCTAGCTCCACCCCAGAGCCTGCACCCCCAGTCAAAGTCCACATCCACTCCTGCACATTTTGACCCCCACCTATAGGGCCCCACAAAATCTAATAGGCCTGGGCCCCAGAAAAGTTAATTTGGCCCTGATGATGGACATAGCTCAAATAATCAGTGCTCCTGCTGCTGCTTTAAGTAGAAGCCAAAACAGAATGGCTATGTAGAGAATGAACTACCCTTTCACTCACAGATACGTTCCCTCTAAGTCCTGGTAGAAGCTTATTCAAAGAGTAGTCTATGCTACCTCCCGTAGCCCACGCTGTGCCACCGCTGTGGATAAACAGAAGACAGCAGTCTCTGTGGCTGTGAGATCCCTTTGACTAGATCTACATCTTAAAAGCAGGCTTGAAGTATATTCAGGAGAAACAATGAAAGCAACAGAGATGCATAAGTAGCTTTCTTCACTGGTTCTAAAGTTTCCAGCTCATGGTCCTATCTGACCCCCACCAAGTCATATTAAATTCTACATATTAATATTGCAGGTGCTTACCTGTTTAACTTGCGTAATGAGGGAGAACAAGTTTCTCTTCTGATTCCGCTTAATATGGTAGGAAGGCCTTTTGTACCTGTTGACAACAACAGACTAATCTATGCATGGAGGCAATACAAACAATACCAAGCGATTAAACAGAAAGGCTTTCCAGTGCATCTGCTGATTACACTTTTCTCATGTATGTATGTGTTAAAATCCAAACTAAAACAGCTCCTGCTTCTTAAATGGTAGTTAGCTAGGTACTTCGTATGAGCAGAAATGTTACTTCGCTGAAAAAGGTGAAGCGTTCAAGAATAACTCCTGAATCTGTGTTAAGGGATTGTTATTGCTGGATGCAGTTTACACCTACAATACCATTATTCTCACTAGGCTTCCCAGGCTACTGACTTGGAGGTGCCAATCCCAGCAGAATTCAGTTGGTTGGCTGCTCCTTTTCTCTAGCACTGAAGATCATTTATGCTCACCCTTCTCAAAATGCCCTGGCTGCCAATATACTATGTTTCTGTATATAAAGCCCATCCAAATCTAAGATGTAAATACCTCACTGATGAGCTTTTGCCCTATGGCCCTCCTTGGCTATGTTGGGCCTGCTCTTGTCTCCTGTGTTCTTTTTGGTGGATCATAGAGCACAAGTTTCTCAAAGACTTGATTGCAGAACTATCTCTTGAAAAAGGTTGACAAACCTCCTTCCTTAGTTGCCATAGGACACATGGTAAGTCGCATTCCTTGTTTTTTGGCTAATTCTTGATATTGGTTGTCCCTTCCCCGCTTGTTTATTGGATCTACTAGACCTTCCCCTCTTACTCTCTCTTGTTATAATTGTGCTTACAACTTTATCCTAATTGTAAGCTTATCTATGAAAAGTATTTGAAAGATCATTTTTTGGAGGGCAGGTAAAGACAACTACCACTACCATAGCCAATGCTTAGGGAGGTTTCATTGTAATACCCAGATGCTGAAACATACTGGGGACAAGTGACCATCACTACTGCACCAATGAGGACCCAAACCTGCTACATGAGAGATCCTGCTCTGTCTTTTCCTCCCTTGTGTCTCTTTCCATTTCCCACTCTCACTTTATCCGAAAGAAACTGTGCTGCATTAGCACAACAAGATGAGACAGCCCATCCAGTCTGCTCAGCCTGAGAGAGACCAATGAAGGAGACAGATTTGACCAAACCAACCAGATATTCCTGACGGGAGGCAAAACAGGCAACAGCTCTGAATGTGCCAGACTAAATCAACCTATTTGTGACTGATTTTAGCTGCCTGTATCCTGAGAACATCAACCAAAGCCATATTGCCCCATCCCTACTATCTTAGCTCTCTTCTCTCCCTTCTGTGTCCATCTGTTTTGTCAAAGACAGAAAAGTGACCATCATTCCTAAATTAGCTACATTCTTCCCCATCAAGGAGGACTGTTTGATGGAATAGTAGACTCAGTGTGATGTCCCAGGCCTTGAAGTTCCCAGACAGCTGCTGAATCCTGACCTCTACCCAGTGTTTGAAACTTGGTGGTTTGAGAAGCTAGTAGGACTACAGCCTCAGTCATGGCACCACTCAGAGGAACCCTGATTACAGCAGTACCCAGGCTCCACTGATTGGTTCAACCATGCTACTTAAGCTAGATGGTGGTACAGGAAGTTGTTTAAGCATTAATGTGACTTCCTGTGGTGGCTACATTGCACCGTACTTCTTCCTGCTCCCTGCACCCAGCACCATTTCCAATTCCAACTCTGTTCTTGGCCTCTGTCTCATCCCTGCCTTCTCTTATGTTTCCACCAGGCTCATGCTCCAACTTGATCCTTGCCTCTCCTCCAGTTCCTGTGCTTACACTTACCAGTCATGTCTCTGGTTTGACCCCTAACTCTGGAATTTGGTATCAGATCTCAGCTATGACTCTGTTTTGTTTCCAGACTCTTGTAATTAACAGTTCACTCTCATGATGACCCTTACCTTTGTTCCCGCAACCTAGGTATCTGCTCCACCCACTAGACCTGACTCCTGCTCTAACTACTGGACCAGACTGCCTACATCCCAATCCACAGCTCTCTAATCAATATTTCCTCTCTAAAAACACTTTAACTTTGTTCTGTATAATCATTCAATGTCAATGCTTTTTTGACATCTTTTAATTCTTTCCCTTTTTTGTGTGTTTTAATCAATAAATATCTGCCCTTTTGGCATAAACTTCCAAGTGTGATTTTCATGGTACTAACCAGGCTAAAGTCTCATATACCAAACTTGTTTACAACTGTTTAATGTGGAACAGTTACAGGTTATGCTAATGCCTTTAATTTGTTGGGCCCATATATGCCATCAAAATTAATGCAACATCCCCTTTCTTTGTATAGGTGGGAAACTGTCCCTTGTGTTGATGGGTGTTTGCCTGAAGGTTACTAGAGCTCTATTTTCACAGGTTTCAGAGACCGAAGGAATCATTGTGATCATCCTATCTGATTTCCTCCATAACACAGACCTCAGAACTTCCTGCACGTAATTCCTTGAGTGTATCATATAGAAAAACATCCAAATCTTGTTTTAAAAATTGTCAGTGATGGAAAATCCATCACAATCCTTGGTAAGTTGTTCCAATGGTAAATTGTTCATGTGATCAGCCTATCTGATATACAGGCAGTCCCCTGGTTACGTACAAGATAGGGACTGTAGGTTTGTTCTTAAGTTGAATTTGCATGTAAGTCGGAACTGGCGTCCAGATTCAGCCGCTGCTGAAACTGACCAGCGGCTGATTCCAGGAAGCCCGGGGCAGAGCAACTCTGCCTCGGGCTTCCTGTAGTCAGCCGCTGGTCAGTTTCAGCAGCGGCTGACTTGGGGACACCTGGGGCAGAGCAGCTGGGGTGCTGCCAGGTTGGTGCAGTAGCGCCGAGGAGCGGCGCTGTGGGACCAACCCAGCAGCGCCCCAGCTGCTCTACCCCAGGCATCTCAGCGAGAAAAGCCTGGTCTGCTGGGGGAAGGGGCGCACTAGCTGCGCCCCCTCCCCCCAGCAGACCAGGGAGACGCGGGTGGCGGGACCGCCGAGACGTGCTGCGGTCCCGCCTGCATCCTCTGCGTCTCCCTGGTCTGCTGGGGAGGGGGCTCCCCCCAGCAGACCAGGGAGACGCGGGTGGCGGGACCGCCGAGACGTGCTGCGGTCCCGCCTGCATCCTCTGCGTCTCCCTGGTCTGCTGGGGAGGGGGCTCCCCCCAGCAGACCAGGGAGACGCGGGTGGCGGGACCGCCGAGACGTGCTGCGGTCCCGCCTGCATCCTCTGCGTCTCCCTGGTCTGCTGGGGAGGGGGCTCCCCCCAGCAGACCAGGGAGACGCGGGTGGCGGGACCGCCGAGACGTGCTGCGGTCCCGCCTGCATCCTCTGCGTCTCCCTGGTCTGCTGGGGAGGGGGCTCCCCCCAGCAGACCAGGGAGACGCGGAGCAGCTTGTCTCGCCCCGGGGGTGGCGGGACCGCAGCGCATCTGGGTGTCCCGCCGCTCGCGTCCTCCAGGGCGAGCAAAGCCCAGTTCGTAACTGCGGATCCGACATAAGTCGGATCCGCATACCTCGGGGACTGCCTGTAGTTAGGACTGTATCCAGATGACTTTTAGTTTAGTGTCAACCAGACCTAAAAACTTCTGCCAATAAAGAGGACTGTGATCCGTTGTTCTCCATATCTACTGAAATCAGGAAAAGAAGTAATATGCTTAATCTGCAGGAATGAAGATTTAGATTAGATATTAGGGAAAAATCTTTCCAGCTACCAGAGTAGATATGCTTCTGTTGGAACAAACATCTGTCAGGAATGGATGGCTAAGCTTACTTGGTCCTGCCTCAGTGAAGAGAGCTACCCTCAATAACTTCTGGAAGTCCCTTTGATTCTACAATACCTGTGGTGGGAGCTGGTTGCTTTGTGGTCGTCTTCTGTTGGCTGGTCTCTGGTCTGAGTTCTGTGCTCCCACCAGACTTCCCTGCTAAACTCTTGTCTTGAGGCAAGCTAAGCAGGTGAAAGGCAATATGATTAGACTTTTAGGGAAAGGCTTTTTACCCATCAAGTATCGCTAACAGCCATGGTTAAGCCACATGGCTTGCCATTGCCTAAGGAATTTAGATTCCCGTTGCTGAAGATGAAATGCTGCATTTAGCTGATTTATATGAAATATATGGGTACGCTTAGAGTTCCTACTGGACAGGTGTCCTTATTATAACAGCCCCATAACTGTCCTCATTAGTCAGCAAGAATAGAACACCCAATAATAGGCTTATACTGCAGCAGGGAACATGTAATGTTAGGAAAATCTTTTTAGTATGAGGGCCTAATTTTGCCCTGTGATACATGTACACAGCTTTCACTAAAGGCAATGAAAGTTGCACATAAGATATCAAGGACAGAATTTCACCATTGTGCAGTTTCACAATGAAATCTATGAAGAAGCAAAGCTCCGGAATTATTATTATTGGGAATATTAATATGTAGGCATCCCTCTGGATGAATAACCAATTTTTCTGTGAAATTAGAGTGAAAGGAGTCTACGTGACTGATCATGGTTCTTTCCAACCAAATGATAACAGATTGACCTTTATTGAGTGAATGTTTGTGAATAAATGGTACAGACAGTATAATGAAAACTTTTGACAGTAGCATAGTGAAGCGAATGGATGCATCCAAGAGCAGGTTTGGGGTTAGGGTGAGAGGGTATCTGGCACCTGGGAGCCCGGTTACATGGCCCATGCCGTAATGCTCGGCATACCCCATGAGTGGGACCCACTGGTGGAGTGCCCCCGTCCTCCGGAATATTGTTCGTGCCCCTTCTGTGGGGAGTGCAGAGGATATGTAGATTCCGTAGGATGATGGGGCGGGGGGGGGGGGGGTTTTGGGGGGGGGTTTTTGGTTTTGAGGAGCCCGTAGAGAATAATGGGGAGCATGTGGGGCCCCGGATGTAGTTGGGAAATGGTTTGGTGAAGGGTTGTCTAGTGTATTCTGGGTTGGGTGGAGATGCTCTCCCTGTAGCAGGAGGTCTAGTGGTTTAAATAGGTGGAGTTATAGGTTCAAGAGGGTGAGCGTCCCACCGCGTGTCTAATTTTAATCTCCCTAATGGGTTATCACGGAGGGGAAGTAAGTATACTACTACACTTGATCTTAGCCAAAATGCCGAGAAATAAATAAGGACCAACATTTGGATTAGAGTGAAAGCAAAGAAGATGGTCAATTGTACTGATTGTGGCGACTTCCTGGTGGCACAGTCCATGCTTACAGCATGCCACCATTCAGATAATACAAATAAATTAAGTTTTATATTAAAATAATAGTTCAGCTGAGGCCTGATATAATTTCCACTGAAATCAATTCTTTGAATTCAAATGTAGATCCTTCCTTACCTGCTTAATGTATCTAATGATGTGGAAATTTCTTTTCTAATTTCTCCTAATACTGTTGGGTGAACTTTGGAACCTGTTACATACAAAAATCACTATTATTTACACTAGATTGTATCTGTAAACCAGTAAAAAGCATAATTCTGACCTGCTATAGTAGACTAAAAGAATTATGTGCTAACATGAATGTAAATTAAAAACAAAACTTATTTTTACTGAATTAAGACAGAAAATGCCCTGTTTTAGTGACAGTTAACTCTTCTTCCTAGCCTCAGATAAGGATGACTATCTTTCCTCCTCCATCTGATCACTCCGTGATTTTACACTCCAGATCACAAATTACCGAGGCAGAAGTGCTGGCGCATGGGTGTCTACAGCTAGTCTCTTAATTCTTGTGGTCAGGAATCTAAACAAACTTAATTGGGAAAGTGTGTTCAGCACCTCTGGAAAATCAGGCTAATATTTAGGGGAATATACATAGATTAAGGTGTCAAAGTTGAGGCATCCAAAACTGAAAATATAGCTCTGACCTTACACCCCATTTCTCAATACACTCTCCTTCTTGCCCTGTGGTATCTACTTCCATCTCCTACATCAGAGGTGGGCAAAAGGGCCTCCGCGTGTCAGATATGGCCCACCAAGCAGATTAATCCAGCCCACAGAAGCCAATTAAGGCCTGAGGGCAGAGGAGTGTGCGAAACTTCCTCCCGCCCTAGCAGGACCACACAGCGCTTTGAAGCGCCATGCACTCCTTGCAGGGCAGGAGGAGATGTCACCTGCTCCCCCGCCCCCAAGCCTTGTTTGGTCTGGGGGAGGGAGGAGCACTCGAAATTTCCTCCCCTCTTCCCCCGCCCTGCGAGGAGAATGCAGCACTTCGAAGTGCTGTTCGCTTACGCAGGGCGGAGGCAGGGGGGAGGAAGCTTTGCGCAGTTCCCCTGCCCCCAGACCCTGACTGGCCTGGTAGCAGGGGGAGCATGTGAAGCCTCCTCCCGCCCTGCGAGGAGCACGTAGCACTTTGAAGCACCACATGCTGCTCGCAGGGCAGGGTAGGGCAGGAAGAGGCTGCATGTGTTCCCCTCACCCCCAAGCCAATCAGGGCCTGGAGGCGGAGGAGCTGCGTGAAGCTTCCTTCACTCTGCCCTGGCCCGGCAAGGAGAGTGAGGCACTTCAAACTGGCATGTGCTCCCCAGCCCCCAAGCCCGGATTGGCCTGGGGCAGGGGAGCATGCGAATCCTCTTTCTGCCCTGCCAGGGGAATGGATGCCTAGTGGTAAGGGAGGACAAAGGGGCTCCCATACCCCTAGACTATTCATGGTCTAGGGGTGGGGTAGCCCAGAAGCATCCTGCCCCTTCCAGTGTAGGCCCCACCCCTTCTGGGGGAGCCCGGCCAAAAATTATTGCCCACCCCTGTCTTACATGCTCCACATCACCACTTCCTCCCTTTTGGTAGGTACTGATGTCTCTCTTCCCTTCTAAATACCCAATGCATTACAACCCCAGTCTCTAGCAAGGATGGGATTATGTCATGGTACCTGAGCCTGGAACTGGCTGCTCTGTGGCTCCATCCTGGAGGCTGCTCTCTGATTCCACCTCTATGCTGTCATATTCATGCTGTGAACTCCTGTCTTCAGATGAGCTAAGCAAGTTGAAAAGACACATCTCTGCATAGCATGTATTGTCTCACTAATGACCACTGTTTATAACTGACTTCCTTTAGAGATAGGTCATCTATTTCCCTCTCCTTGAATAAAGAAAATACCACATTAGGAAGCACATCAGTATTAATTCCTAGCAGATATATTCATAGAGTCCCTCCTCCTCCCCTGGCACTTCTGCTGATTAGTCTCAGCAGAAATTCAAGAACTGAATAAGCATGAAGACTGAAATAAGGCTAAAGTAGAAAAACCAGGTACATCTAGGTTTACTCAGTCTGGGAACTGAAGGGAGGACAGTAACTGAAGATAAGGAATAGTGATAGAAATGTAGCCGTGTTAGTCTGGGGTAGCTGAAGCAAAATGCAGGACAATGTAGCACTTTAAAGACTAACAAGATGGTTTATTAGATGATGAGCTTTCGTGGGCCAGACCCACTTCCTCAGATCAAATAGTGGAAGAAAATAGTCACAACCATATATACCAAAGGATACAATTAAAAAAATGAACAAATATGAAAAGGACAAATCACATAGTCTTTAAAGTGCTACATTGTCCTGCATTTTGCTAGGAGACATTAGTCAATGAGGACAGACCAAGTGATAAAGTGTTATGCTAAGGAAGTTATATGTGACATCTGGTAGGTGCAACAAAGATTACAACGTTATCCTGGCTGATAGGAAAACGTCTAGCATTTAAATACAGGGATGACTTTGGGGAACCATATTGCCATGAAACAAGGAATGATGGACTAGATGATCCACTGGAGAGCTGCATAAACACCAATGTATCTAAGTTGATATAAGTAAAGATGGAATAGGGGGATGAGGGAAGATAGGAAAAGAAGATGCCTTAGTAGAATATTGTACAGGAAGTCCCCGGGTTACATGGATCCGACTTACATCGGATCCCTACTTACAAACGGGATGAGGCAACCCTGCACTAGCTGCTTCCCCCCAGCAGACCAGGGAGACGCGGAGCGGCTTTTCTCAGCAGACACCTCAGGTTGAGGATAAAGGACT